GAAGGGCCAGTTGCCATTCGTCGAGCTGAACGGCGAGGAGATCGCGGATAGCACCATTATCCTGCGAGAATTGAGCCAGAATTCGGCAAGGACTTGGACGCCGGTCTTACATCCGAGCAGCGAAGCGTCTCCCATGCTATGATATCGATGATCGAGAATCATCTCGTCTGGGTTGTCGCGTGCTGGCGCACGAAGAATCTGGACCAGGTGCTGAAGGGCTACAAGGTCAATCTGCAACTCGCTCTGGGATCACGTATCCCAAATGCCATTCTGAATTTCTTCTTCAAGCTTACATTCGGACGCAAGGTAAGTTTTGTTTGTCGTTCGCCGTGTGATTTCGGTGTGACTTAGCATATAACTTGGACGTTAGATCACTGGATGATAATTCACGTTTCACAATTTCTGATCATTCGATTCTGATGATTTTATTCGCATCCATTACGTGTTTTCATATAACTTGTTTGCATATTTTCATAATTATATTCCACATTATTTCCATCGTTATATAAACTATAAGGTATGCTGTATGCAAAAATAATTTCTCTCGACCTTCTCTCATTGATTTGTCAAGACGCACGATTTCATATGCTCGGCGTTTTCGAATTAGCCATGCATGTACACTTACATTATGCTAGTTTGCATTCGTGTAAATTAATTGTAGTTTTGTTACATTGCACATTTCTCCTAGTATTAAAAAATGTACCTCGAATAGCCAGTCTCATCAGCGATCATTTTAACTCACTTAGTTGAGTCCTGGTCGAGGTTTCCATCTAGATATTAATAATAATATGGAATATAAGGATGATTATGAAATGCAAGTTTATCGATAAAATAAGGTACAAACCTTGAATTAAAAAACAAATAAAATGATAAAATGATATTTTTCTCTTAATTTACTTCGACCAAGTTTCGCTACTTACACGTTATCACAATGTTACTTCATGCTATCTCCAGAATCATTCATAGTATTCGCTTAGAGTGCACAAACTGCGCTTGTGCCCATAAATGTCTATGAATGTGCTAGCTAGAGGTAGTATCAAGACAAAGAAGCGCAATTGCAGAACAAAATATTGTGACCATTTGTAGTGAGATGGTAGTTGGATTGGTTGCAGGGTGCGAGAAAAGTGAAGGCTCAGGGCATGGGCGTGCACAGTCCGGAGGAAGTGTCCCAATTTGGCTGCACCGATCTCAAGGTACTCTCGGACACGCTCGCTGACAAGCCCTTCTTTTTCGGAGACGAGCCGACTACCGTAAGTGTCATTAAATCATCGTTAAACTGTTAGCGCCGTTGCTTATCGCGATCTCGCGTTATACTGTGAATAATTTCAGCGGAGTATTTGATTTGCTGTGTAAATAATAGTTCCAGTTACCCGTAATCTAACACCGAAGATAATATCGATGAAAATCAAATATCGCCTACGGCAAAACGATGCTCTCGTTGGGCATTGCAGCAAAAAAGTTTTGTTTTCAGTTATCTCACAGATATTGGACACCGGACTGAGCAAACAATAGTTGTTGGTTTGAACTTTCGTTTTCGAGTTCCAATTGATTAAAACTTTTAAATTGATTTAATAAAATAAACTTCAAAAAATAAACAAATAAAAATACCTTATTTAATATCTGCGGATTGATCTTTTTGGGTAATTTGAATAATTTAAAACAATAATATTATAGCTCGAACAATTAATTTTATATTATCAGTTTTCAAATTAAACCATTGATATGTCTAATATAATTTTCAATATTTTGAATAATTGTGAATTGTTTTTCACGAGCATTTATTTATCGTAAAATTTGAATTATATAGAATATCATGTCAATCTTTGCGTTGATATAACAAGTTTTTTTTGTAATTTTACATCTTACCTTTCGCGTGAATATTAATATTTTCTTTATAATATATGTGAAAAGCTTTTTCTAATTATAATTTTTTATAAAAATGATTTATAATATCGTATAGCGCATGTGAATTAAGTTGATTTGTAATTATATTTGTTTTAACGCAAGAATTGATAAAATAGAGATTATAGATTATAATTTCGGCAATCGATATAATTGGATCCGCCTTGGCGGATTTTATTTGAATTTGTGCAGATGGACGTGGTGGCATTTGCGCATCTCGCTCAAATCCTGTACATCGACAAAGACACTCCGTACAGTCTGCGAGATTACATGGTCGAGAATTGTCCCAACTTGGTTGGCCATTGCTCGCGCGTTAAAGAACGATGTTTCCCGGATTGGGACGAGATTTGCTCCAGCCTGGACATGAACACGCATCTACCGAAGCCTGAGAAGCAGGAAGAGAAGGAAGGCAAAGAAGAGGCGAAGGAGTCCAAAGAGTCCAAGGAGGAAAAAGAAGGCGATAAGGAGAAAGCGGACAAAGAGGAGAAGGAAGTTGAGAAGGACAAGGAAGTTGATGAGAACAAAGAAAAAGAGAAGGACGGCAAATAAGCAGTCTCTCGTTGTAAAGGGGAGTAATAAGTCGTTTCAAGGATTTAAAGGCGAAGAGTCGCGAAGGTATACTGGCGAATGAATAAAGATAGAGAGAAAGAAAGAGAGGGATAGTTAACGATGGGTAAGAATGTACGTATGTGTGCGCGTGATTGCGTGAATGTGAACGGTGGAGACGCGGACGATGTAGAAAACACGTATAGAACGACGAGGGAAGGGAGTTGCCGGAAGTGAGAGATTGTATGTACGAGAGAAAGAAAGAAGGAGAG